ACCATTTTACATACAATACTAATTGTAAAAGCTACCAAATGTGAACTTCAGCGCCCTTCTCATTCCCGAACGCCAAGGAAAGCCATCTACTATCGAGTGGGCCCACTTCGCTTGGACGAGTACGAATCTTGACGCATTCACCGCGTTTGCTGGCCCACAATGGTATGTTCATACCGTTGACTGCGCGCTACTGCATGTCGCTGCATTAATCTACAACGACGTACACTCCGAACGTATATTTGCCTTTGCAGAGCCGTGGAGCTACAACAAGATGATGGATATCTGGCGTAAGCAGTATCCCGAGAAGGAGTTCCCGGAAAACATCAAGGGATTGGGCGAAGACAAAATGAAGGTTCCAAACCAAAGGGCAGAGGAGCTGCTGAAACGAATCAAGGGATCCGTGTGGGAGAGTTTGGAGAAGGCTGTGAAGGAAATGGCTGACCAGTGGGAATAAGGGTGCGCCGTGGTCTATTGCAATATGCAGATCTATGTCGACCCAATATTTGCCATATGGTACCAAGGCCGTGATATGATTCAGGGTCAAGACTACGAGCTGTTTACGACTGATGATTTACACATCACTCCGTCTTCATCCTATAGAACATGATTTTCTCATAGTTGAGATTTCGAGTTTTAGAATTCCAACCATGCTTACATGAACCCTCAAACTCAGAACACAACCACAACACACAGCAATGAGCAACACCCCAAACATAACTCCACTATTACCCCGGAAATGATGATCCAGAATATACGAGGAGTACAGATACCTAAAGGCTGGGGGAACAAAGCCGCCAAGTACCTTATGATTCGTGGAGAAAATCACCGCCGGGTATACTACTGCGTGGCATCGCCTTGGCAATGCACCTCATGGCCTTGGGACTACACTGTTCCGCTCGGTAAACCGCATGCTAAGTACCCTTACTAACACTACACCAACACCTTTTATTCACGGAAACAAAAAGAACATGGGACCCAAGTTCTTCCGGTTGGCTTGAGGAGCGCAGTTTGTGGCGCTCTGGGGAGCAAGTTGTGGGGGAAGCTAGAGCCTGCTTGTGCCTACATAGTATACCTAAAAGGGTTTGGGATGGTGTTGGGATACGGGGTTGCGCGAGGAGAAGTGTGCGTGATGGTGATGATCGAGGGACTACTTGCTGGGCAGATTGGCGTGGCTGATCAAGTATAAAGGCTGGTTGTAATGTGTCGATCATGAAATACCTTTTTGTTTGCACTGCTGAAGCTATATTCGAAACCAAGACAGTAGTCTCGAAAGTCTGATTGATATTCTACTTCAGATATAGCCTTTCAAGATGAAGTTCTCTACCTCGGTCATTCTCCCCCTTCTACCTGTACTCTCAACAGCAGCAGTGATACCGCGCCAGAATGGCGATGGAGCCCAAGGCAGCTCAGACTCGACGCAGGGCGATCTTGGAGCTCGGCCTCCCCCAAGATTTCCTTTTCCAGTGACGAAGTTTCCCGTTCCGACTGAGACTGTTGTGCTCAAAGAGGCCATGTACATTGCTCCTGGCCAGGTCTTCGATGGGCAGATGAAGCGGTACGAGCGTGTGGAGGGTAGTTGTAGTGAGCAAGCTGAGGGAACCGACGCGGATGCTGTATTCAACTTGCTTCCTGGACCTACAATCCGGAACGTGGTTATTGGGAAACACCAGAGCGAAGGTATCCATGCTCTTGGAGATGCCTGGGTGGAGAACGGTAAGATAGTTCGTTTCATCTTGAGAATTAACAAACCACTGACTTACCGTGCAACAGTGTGGTGGGAGGATGTCTGCGAGGACGCACTCACATCCAAAGGCCTAAACACCCAACTCCGCGTCATCGGCGGCGGCGCACGTAACGCAACCGACAAGATCTTCCAGGACAACTCGCTGGGAGGCAAAGTCAACATCACAGGCTTCTACGCCGAGAACTTTGGTACTTTCTATCAATCGTGCGGAAACTGCCTTAACCAGGCGAAGCGCAATGTCACCATCCAAAACGTCATTGCCGTAAAAGGTACAAGGATGGGAATAGTAAGTCTAAAACAATCCCATTTACCTTTTCTAGTGTGTTCAAACTCACAATCACGCAGATCAACCCCAACTACGGCGACGAATACCGCATCAAGGATTCCCAAGTCATCGATGTTGATCGGTACGTCGACAAGGAGATTGGCAATAATGTCCAGACAGTTCCTTATACTGTTGGAACTGGGCCCGATGAGAAATATGCGCTGTATAATCTGACGCGCGACCATATTACTGAGTTTGAGGGAGAGATCTTGAATCAATATGTGCCGGAGGAGCCGTATGAGTGGCTAGGTATTTACTGGAAGGAGGGTACCGGTGCCGCATAATGTTGAAATGAGGGAATATTTAATGAATTTTATGTAGTATGAAATAATGAAATGAACATATAATCGAATAAACGTTGGCTTGCTTGGTTGATGACTTGGGCGCTATCATGCCGGTCTAGAATGGATTTGATTTTCTGGTACAAACACGGAAATCTTGTGATATTTCGATGATATCGATTATGGACCTTTTCATATAGATATTATAGTTGGAAACAAAGACTGTATTGAATAAGTAAGCGTTAGTGTGTTCTTTCTCACTAGTCTTGGCATAGTTGCGAGGGTGCAGGATACAATATCTGTAATGGCAGCCTAGAAACTGCTGATCAACTAAACACGCAATCATGGATACCATGCCATATTATTTTCTGACAGAAAAAGTGCAAACGCATCATGCGAGTGATTGGGTGTCGAGATAAAGGTATTGAGGTCCTCCATCGAATGGTAGACAAGTGGGCCGTGCACCAACCCCGGTTGCTCTAGCCTTCGCTTAGATTTTGCCAGCCCACGATCGTTCAGTGCCTCTAGCCAGCGACAACTCCATCCCGACGCCCAACCCAGCTCTTCCGCACACCGACCGACCGACTCCCGTCAAACACACACACAACCGCACATAATGGATTCAGCTAAGGCTCCCGTCAAGCTCGTCAAGGTCACCCGTGTCCTTGGCCGAACCGGTACGCGAAATTTGCCGAAATTTGCTGCACAAGAGGGCGCATGCGACATACGCGCTGCGACAAACGTGCGAGAGATTAGAGAGAATTGAAGGCTGACAACGGTTTCTTAACAGGTTCCCGTGGTGGTGTCACCCAGTGCCGTGTCGAGTTCATGGACGACCAGACCCGTTCTATCATCCGTAACGTCAAGGGCCCAGGTAACCCTCTCCTCCTCCTACCCGCTTTTTTGCCGCTTCCCCCTCTGGCAGTAGGCTGACTCCAACATCTTTAGTCCGCGAGAACGACATCCTCTGCCTGCTCGAGTCCGAACGTGAGGCCAGGCGTCTGCGATAAGCGCTATCAACTCTCGGGGAAAAAAAGAGAGAGGGAAAGCGGCATTTCATTCGGTTACCGGAGTTCTTTGCGAAAGCTTATGGGCATCTATACGGACTTGACGAGGATGGACAAAATGATGGCGTAGTTGTTCTTGCAGCAGCTACGGAGCCATATGGCAGATATGTGGGAGATGCGATCACGACTGATATCAAAGAGTCTGGCCTTTTCCTGAATAAATCGAAAACTACCAACTCCTCAAGTGCCTTGGATGGGTCGTGACGCTTTTTGGCTGTCTCTGAGTCTAATGCTAGGGTTCAAGATACGCCGGGAATCTGATACTGTTTAGGCGATGCCATCATGTTCAGTGCCACTTGCTGGGAGTACTATTTGACCAGCAGATTAGATCCATTCGCACAATGCTCCTCTTTCGCTCGCAGCCCACATTTTCTACTTTCCGGTAGCACTTCAAATATTGGCAAGCCACATCATACTCCATTGGTCTTATGTACGGTGGAGCTTAGAGTTAGGCCAAATGTAATGATCCATGTCTTAGCCCTACGCCTTGGCTTCTCTAACCGTCCAAGGTCTTGCTTCCTAATCGAGACTAAGTTCAGCCTTGATGAAACTTTGATCTGGCATTTATCAATTCACTTCTCATACTACTGTGTTCTTCTACCTACACGTCATCACAAAAGATCTACCATTGAGCGGCACAGGGCTTTGAGATTGTAAAGAGCTTGCGGAGTATCCTTACAAAACTACTCAAATAACGCAACGCTTTAGTGCACTTGTCACTTCAAACCTTAGCACACCCAATTCAACTACGAACTACTTGATCACAGTCCAGTTTTCGGACCCAGTCCAAACAATAGCGCTGTTCACGTGCTGGAGAGCTCTCCAAGACCAACGTCGATCGGAATGTTCTCAAAACTCAAGTCCATGTCCTACATAACTGTATGCGGATTTTCAAACTGTCTGAAGACAAGCCATCATATCGCTAATCACAGAATATTCTACGAACTTGCCCAAGTTTCCTTGTACTTGGGTATTACAACGTTCTGACTTGCGATAGTAAACATGTTCTTCTGGAGGTCCACAAAGAGGTTTTTATTGTACTTGTTTGTCATACAAACGAACAGTGAGTGAGTGGCTCAAACTACAAACGGACTCAAGTCTTCCTTAAATACGATCAAATTTCACTTCGAGATTATAACGCATAGCGCCCAGCTTCAAGTAACAACCGCGTTTCAGTCTTAGTATCAGACATTGTTAGCAACTCCGCATCTTCCACGGCTTCCCTTGAACCGCTCATTGCCTTCCAAATCAGCATACAAGTGACACTTTTCGGGTCACCCGCATCATTCCCCACTTGCTATCTCACAGCCACCAAACTGGCGACTCCACACAGCCCGTCTCCGCTCGCGGGCGGTTCAATATGGGACCCCTCTGACGAAGAATGGGCCGAAGTAGACGCCTACCGCATCGCCAACACCTTCGTCGCATCCTTCAAGAACCCTGGGCAACAGAATGGCGTATCTAGTCCCCAAAAAGACCAGAGTGCCTTCTCGCGACTCACCTCCACCATAACTTCTCTCATCCCCCTCTCCCCAACCAAACACGCCCCCCAAGAAACCCCCCAAGAGTCCACCTCCCTCGACGAAAAACTCTCCAAGCTCCAAAACACCTACCACACCTCTCCCTCGGGCGACCTCTGCGACTCCATAATGCAAACCTGTTTTCTCCCCCGCTCCCGTATCTTCCCCTCCTCTTCCACGTCCTCGCCCCGAACCATGCACGTCATCGACCTCTCGAGCTACTTCACCACCACGAACCCGCTCTTACACGCCGCCCACCCGCGCCTCTGCTCCGCCATCGCCACAATCCTCAGCCACACAAACCCCGCCTGCATAACCGCCTTCCTCAACCCACGCATCCAAGAATTCATTTATAAGCGAGAAGTCCAAGGACGCAAAGGCGGAACCACCTTGTTAATCCGCCGACATCACAACACCATCATGGTATGTTTATCCTTTTTCCCCCCCATCAACCCCTCTCTCTCTCTCTCTCTGTTTTACTAGTCTAAAATTTAAAAAGAAAAGGAGAGAGAAGAAAAAAAATGGAAATTAAATTTTAATTTTAATCTTGTTTTTTGGGCTAATCAAAGAGAAAATATTTGAAATAGGCAGGATCATACCGTAACCTCGGTTTCTCGCTCCAATGGAGGTTGTATGTCAGAAGCAGGTTTAATGCGCTGGGCCAGTGGTACGACGAGTATGCTGCGCCTACGTGTGGGGCTACGCCGGTGGTGGGTGGCGGGGAGGTGATGTGGGATGTTTTCACGCCTGATGGGGTGATGTCGGGTGATGGTGATGATGATGATGGGGAGCAGAGGATGCGCTGTGCCAAGAAGGATGGTGGTGCGGATGCGGAATTCCGCGGAGGTGGGGGGTTGGGGGTGAAAGAAGATGGAGATGGTGATGAGGGGGAGGAGGAAGAGGGAAGGGAGGCGAAGTTCGCGTTATATCAGAGTAGAATACTCGCTCGGTATTTGCTGTGGGATGTTTGGGTAAGGTTGGAGGGTAGGTACGAGTGCAGGGCTACGTGGGAGGCTGATGGGAAGGTTAACACTGTGAGGTTGAAACGGGGACTTGTTGGATTTGATGATGATGATGATGATGACGAAGCGTAGTGGGCAAAGTGAATATATGCAAATCACGTGAATTCAGGCCAGATTCAGAATGTTATGAATGAAAGAAGCTTTTCTTCCCTTAGAATTCATGAAATCTATATGAGAGCTAAGAAAAAAACAGAGAGAGTCCAGAGGACTTTTTCTCTCGTGTATATTCAGTAACAAGGAAAGAAATGTTTCGTTAATCTATAATGCAAGCGATGCGCGCTATGCAAAGGATATATTCGACCAACCAAGGAAAAAAAGAAAAGAAAAGGAAAAAAACGCCATGGAAATGCAACAAAAGGAAAATCCTTTTTTGTCATATCAAGATCATGCTCATGTCGAGATGGAGGAGAGAGAGAAGGTGCTCTAAGCAATAGCAGAGACACCACCCTCCTGCATAACAGGGTTGATCTTCTCATTAAACTTGAACTCAAAGTCCTCACCAAGCTCCTTCTTCATGGCGGTCTGAACAGCCCCAAGGACGTTCTTAAAGACACCGAAGGAAGCAGGGTTGTTCTCGTCGTTGTCGCCGCCCTGGAAGACACCAGTACGGACCAAGCAAGTGTTCCAGCCGTACATGTTACCACCGATGATGTCGGAGGCTGGGTTGTCACCGATCATGTAGATGTGAGAAGGCAGCTTCTCCTCGTTGTGGATGGTTTCCATCCAGCTGGCAATGACCTCATCGGCGTACTTGTAGGTAGCCAACTCGGGCTTACCGTAGACGACACGCTCGAGCTCGACGCCGGTGAGCGACTTGTACATGGCCTCGAGACCAATGCGGAAGGCACCCTGGGACATGCGGGGGAAGGGGTGCTCGGTGGGGCAGAGCATGTCACCCTGGGAGAAGTAGATGGGGATGCGCTGGGAGACGGGGTCCTTGGCCCTGGTGCCGAGACGACCGTTCTCGGATTGGAGGAGGTCCATGATGATTTGGATGTCGGTAGCGTAGTCACGGCTGTCAGAGAAGACCATGATAGCCTCGATGTTGGTCTTGCTGAAGTCGCGGGGGCGGGAAGTCTTGCGCTCCTCCTCGGTGAAGACACGGTAAGGGGCAATGGTGGGGTCCCAGGCAACGATGTCGTTGGGGACAACAATGTCCTCGAAGCCGTACTGCTCAGCGACCTCACGGCACTTGTAGCCCTCACCACCGACGACAAGAACGGTCTTGTAGTACTCAGCCAAGGCACGCATGGGAGTGTGCGACTGGATGAACTGCTCGGTGGAGATGGGATTGTGGAGGATCTTTGAGAGTTGGTCGACACGAGCCTGCTCAGGCTTGCCGGAACCGTTGGTGAGGAAGATGTGTGGGATCTTGATGCCGAGCTGGTTGTCTCCGTTCAAGATCTCAAGGACGCGCTGGCCCTCGGGGATGAGACGGTCACCGTGGACAAGGACACCGTCAATGTCGAAGACGAAAGCCATGTCCTTGGCAGCGTGGACCTTCTCGCCAGCCAAGTCTTGAAGCTGAGCAGCGATGATATCACGAGATGGCTGGATGGCGGGCATGCCAGGGCGCTTGGCAGCACCGTGGCCATCTGGGTAGTGTACAGAGGACAACCGTGACTGCCTCTTTGAGCGGGGGATGGGCAACGAGGTACCGAAGGAGTTTCGGGATCCTCTCCTCTCCTTCATGGAAGGCGAGAGGGAAAGGTTGTGCATGTAGTTGGTGGTGTCAGCAATGGCGCTGCGGGTTGCTGGGACCTCGATGGCATTGGCGGTGCCATCATCGTGAGCATCGCCAGGGATGGGAATCTCGCTGCTTCCAACAGCAAGGGAGTCAGATTGAGCATTGTTGGTGTTGGATTTTGTCTGGGTGAGAGGAGTCTCAGCCAGCTCCTTCTCGTCAAAAGCCGCGGGAGACATATTGATGATGAGGATGATGTAGTAAAAGGGATACGTATATCAAGTTGAAGAGGTAGGTTGAAAACTTCACAGAGACTAGATGTGAAAGTGAGTGAAGATGTGGAGAAGTGTGATGGTGGATAGTTGACATCAGGGTCCTGGGGGAGGGGCTATATATCATCATCTCAGCTGTCGACGCAGATAGGTAATAGACGCCATATGCCTTCGTCATTTGCCAGTATTGGAGTGGAAGGTTTCAAGACAGCTTTTCGCTATCCCGAGTTAGGCCGACACACCAACCACCAAATGGCACTCAATGGATTCAACAAGTATCTCCGTACCCACAGTTCGACATCATCATGGCTCAGGCACGGCCGTGCAGAAGAGCGCTAGGGGACGAGTTTTGCCAGACCAGAGAATGAGAACTGGATACCGTCACCGCCGGGATTAAGCCGAAAACTGGGGACTGATAGGGTTCGCGACATGTGAGTCGCCACAACACCTGGAAACATGGCTGTATACGTCTCGCCTATGCCGCGAAAGCTTAGCGCAGAGCCTCAGGCAAGCGGAAAGATGAGCGCGGCCGGAAGGATTGTGATTGACGAGGAAATGGCTACCGCCGGTCAAAGCGGATTGGCGTGCATATGCTATCAGTCGAGGAGTGGGAATTGTGTAGAGACGAGTGCAGCAGAACGAGGATGGTGCAGGGAGCATCATGTCGCAGTGACGAAGGTTGGGTGGGGCCAAAAGCGCGCCTCGCCGAATTAGGGCGGAGGCAGCGAAGCGAGTGGCTGAGGAGAGCAGAGCCGCACCAGCCGAGGGCGTTGGAAGGGTGCTAGTAAGTTTCTGTATGGTGCTACGTAGTGGTAGGGAGCGAGAGGTACATCCATACAGGCTGCATTGCATTCGGCCCACGCCCATTGCCGGACTTGGTGCTGACTACGCAGTTTTTTTCTGCTCTGTGCTGTCGCCTTGGTCAACGTCGGCAAAACTGCCACTCGCAGCCACGTCCCACGCACGCCCTGGCCGGCCCGTGCGGTGGACCCTGGAGATCCACATACGACGTCATTGCGGCCAGCAACTGACAACACCTCACGGTCGCCGTGAAACTGTTGGATGGCACTATCATGATGAGTTTTCGCAATGGGACCGATGCTGCCATAATGCCACCGCGATCGGCCACAGCCGGGTTGTGTACGGGCACGGTGCTGCCAGGTCGCCGGCCTTGGTGTTGCTGACTGCTGGAGAAGGCGTGGCACATCGAGCGATGATGACAGCAGCACAGCCAAGGGTGACGAGAGGGGGAAAGTTCGAAATTTCAACAAGCCCGACATGCGCTGGACAGACATATGTAGCCTTGCAGCCCTGCCACGCGCTGTTGCTGTTGTTTAGAAGAAAACCCCCCTCTCAACTCTGTCCATACCTTTTTCTTTCTTGCCCTCTGTGCAATTCGTAGAGACAAACCCCCATCTCCAATCTTGTTCACATTCATCTCCGCACACCGCAGCAATGGCGCCCGCCAACCAAAAGACCTACAAGTTCTACAACGGCGTCACCATCCCCGCCGTAGGCTTCGGCACCTTCGCCAGCGAGGGTGCATCCGGCGAGACGTACGCCGCCGTCACCACGGCACTCAAGACGGGCTACCGCCACCTCGACTGCGCCTGGTTCTACCAGAACGAGGAGGAGGTCGGCGCCGCCGTGCGCGATTTCCTCAAGGAGAACCCCAGCGTCACCCGCAAAGACCTCTTCATCTGCACAAAAGTATGGAACCACCTCCACGAGCCCGACCAAGTCAAATGGAGCTTCAACAGCAGCTTGACCAAGCTGGGCATGGACTACATTGACGCCTTCCTCGTCCACTGGCCCATTGCCGCCGAGAGCGACGACAACCACATGCCCAAGCTCGGCCCAGACGGCAGGTACATCATCAAGAAGGACCTCACCGAGAACCCAGAGCCCACATGGCGCGCCATGGAAGAGCTCTACGAGTCCGGCAAGGCCAAATCCATTGGCGTCTCCAACTGGACCATCGACGGCCTCAAGAAGCTCCTCAGCTTCGCCAAGGTCAAGCCCATGATGAACCAGATCGAAATCCACCCTTTCCTGCCAAACACCGACCTCGTCAAGTTCTGCCAAGACAACGACATCCTCGTCTCCGCCTACTCCCCGCTCGGCTCCCAGAACCAAGTCCCCAGCACGGGCGAGAAGGTGCGCACAAACGCCAAGCTCAACGAGGTCGCCCAGCGCAGCGGCTACGACCTAGCTCAGGTCCTGCTGGCCTGGGGCCTGCAGCGCGGCTACGTCGTCCTGCCCAAGAGCTCCACCCCCTCGCGCATTGAGAGCAACTGGAACATTCCCGAGCTCAGCAAGGAGGACTTTGAGGCAGTCGAGGAGGTCGCACGCGGCAGGCACACGCGCTTTGTTAACATGAAGGATACCTTTGGCTACGATGTCTGGCCTGAGGAGACTGATGGTGGAGAGCTCAAGAAGTAAAAGAGAAGAAAAGGGAAAGTGGAGCGTGGGGGAGGGGGAAAAAATGGAGACGTGTTTTACGACAGGACTATTATCATGATGACATATGAGGGCTTTATGGTCTCTCTTCTTCTTCTTCTTCTTCTTCTTCTTCTTCTTCCTCTTCTTTCTTCAATTCTTGTTGTCTTTATTATTTTAGCGATACCAAGAGGAAGAGAAGAAAGAAGAGAAAAAAAAAACCAAGTCTATTGCAGACTTAATGTAGAATAACAGCTCATAGAGCGATTGAAATAAACATAAATTTCGTATTTCAAGCATGCTTTGCTCTGCGCGTCTTGCAATTGTGAGTTGTATGTAAATCGCGCGCTTCTTCTCCGCTACTCTGCGTTGATCGTAATACGGTATGACGATGTGATGACCACGTTCTAACCTCAAGACGGCCGCTTTCCCCGCACGGTCAAACTGCGGTGCACTACCCTCTGGACCCGCATCGTCGGCGACCTGTCAAGTTTAACATTTGCCAAAACCCTAAAAAAAACGCCTGAGAGCTGATCACACAGCCTGCATAGCCAAAACTATGAGTGATTTTTTTCAAATTCGTTTCCGCTTCCTTTCGTTCCAATGCCCCCTTCAAGTAGGGATCAGCTGGTCTAGCAATTCCAAGTTCTGCTGTTCCCTGCGCACGCTCCACGGCTCTGATGCTGGTTGCGCCAGGGTTGCTGGCTTCGGTAGCACAAGGTCTGCAAAGTGCATCTTGGTGAACTCCATGACTACCTGTGCTTCTGAAAACTTCTCTTGTTCTAGAAGCTGTCTGGCAACGCCCAAGCAGAGCTGGACGAGGAAATTGCGTCGACTTCGTGATGATTGTGCAAATGTGACGGCTCCAGTGGGGTCCTCGATGAACTTCAGTCCTGGCATTGGGCTGCTTTCCGAAGGTCGGTAGAGGGAAAGCATAGCCTCGACGGCTCGGCTCCAGCTTCCAAGCCAACGTTGCGATGATGACGAGAATGATTGGTACAGTTCAAGGTCGATGGACTGGTCCCGGCTGGAGATGATGCGGTTGACGAGACGACCGCCAGCATTCCTCAACACACTGTGTGCTGACTCGTAGCCCGCATTCTCCGTGAAGCGGAAAGCTTGCATAAAGGTAGCCAGACCGCTGTTCAAGCTTGTGTTTGCCTCAATGGATACCATCTTCTCCAGCAGCTGTTGCCTGAACTTGGCCACTCTTGAGACGTCCAGACCGGTTTCTTTGACACGCTGCTCATTCGATCGGATGAACCAGCGCCACGGTGCAGAGGTTTCGCCTTCGGCCAACTGTAAAGCGACCAGCCTATCGAGGAACCTACTGCCATTGCCTGACTTTGATATACACATATCCAAGAACTGGCGCGATGTGTCCAGACCACTAGTCCGTAGCCATTCTGAAAGCACATTTGCTGGTGTGGCCCCATTCTTGAGCCTCGCTGGGCTTTCGTTTGTCGTTTTCTCGAGTACTTCGAGGCAAATGGCCGCCTTTTGCAGAGTGGCAGCACCAGATGCTATCTCATTGACAAACCACCCAACAGGGTCTCTCAGGACATCGACGGCGGCAGACCCCGACCCTCTCCGGCGGGGCTTGACTGCAAACAGTGGGTTGTTTAGGATCGAGTCCAGATGCTGGGTGGTCGAGGCATAGGAAGAGGCGGCTGCATGGTGCGGGCATGGGGCTTGCTGCCCACTACTAATCAGCAGTTGTCGGGAAGGCGCTCTCTGGGTGCTCTCCGAGGGGGGAAAGGGGTGTTCGCGGTCGAGGTGGGCGCGGAAGGACTGGGTAAGCAGAGACAGCAGCTGCTGGCTTTCTCGCGGGGACAGCGGCAGCTGGGGGTGGATCTTAGAGGCGAGAGTGCTCAGGACGCGCTTGCCGGTGGCGGACTGCATGGCGGCGCAATCAGTTGTCGTGAATCGTGAGTCGTGTTGCGATGCGGCGATGACGAGAGGTGGGCCAGGCACAAGCGGCCATGGGACTGCGGCAAGCGGGCGCCCTGTATGGCACGTGACGGACTAGACGCGCGCGCAAGACGGCAGGCTGGAGCAATACGCCCCAGCTATTCGTAGATCAATCGCTTCTGAACGCTCCCCTCACTTCTGCATACCACACAGCCCACTCAGACCCCAGCCAACGCGACACTGCCGCGTCCTGCGCCATTGGAACTTCCAGTGCCAAGACGACGTGGTCGCTTGCCCTTTAGCTTTCCCCAACTTTACCTCCTTCTACATCATCACCACGCACGTCCACCACACCCGCCCACACATTCACACAACCCAAAGTCGCCAGCGGCTTGTCCACACCCCACACAGATTCAATGTCTGAAGCACCATCTCGGCCTGCGCGAGGCAGGAGCTCTGCCCGCGGCGGCAGGGCATCATACGGCTCTCGAGGGCCCAGGAAAACAAACGGCGACAGCGCATCTTCAACCATTGACACATCAGCAGACCAAGGCGAGCTCGGAGAGCTTAAGAAGCGCTACAACTCACAGTTACCCACACTTAAGGAACTGTTTCCT